GAAAGAGTGCTGTGAAAGCACTGTCATTTCTAGCATGGGGCTACCATGCTAGACAGCATCTGTCTACTGTGAGCTGATCCCCAGTCAGCCCAGTTCAATCATAAAATAGGCCCTGAGGACAGCAGGGATGATCCACTATGTAGGGATGCCCAGGGCACCAAAGTCTGGTTGCTGTGCAACAGCTAAGTGTTTTTTAGTATGGCTTGTGTTAAGTCATGACCTGGGAGCAGAGTATGGAGAGGGTTAGAGGGTGCCTGAAGAGAAGAGCAGTGAGTCTCTGGATGGATGCAAACAGGGAGGTGAAGATCCTGGAGAGGAAGGGGGGGCTGCAGGTGAGGGCCACCAGCTCACCAGCGTCCTCCAAAGTATTTGTGGATGCTGATACACCATCTTGAACCTTTCCCCAAGCTGTTGTCCTCGGACGTGCTCTGCTTTAAAGCCACTGTAGTTTGGCCATCCACCTAGAAAGCCATGCCATCTGGTTTTGGGACACAGGCACCCGGAGAGGCTGGGCACAGATCCAGCAGAGGGGCTGTGGCACTGCCTGGTGCTGCTGAGAGCAGCTTGTCAGCACTGCCTTGTGGGGGGGGGAACTGTCTGCCCCACACCCTGCAGCAAGGGGCTGGCAAGAAAAGGGCTCTAGAGCAGCAGGTAGAGATGAGGGGGTCTTAAAAAAGTTTTTGGCAGGGCCTCCTGCTGTGGGTGAATGCCCAGACTGTGTGTTGCCCACATATTAAATGCTGCAAGGGTGCAAAGCAGCCTGAGCAGGGTAACAGCCTGGGCTGACACTGAAAAGGCAAAGGACACCCTGGTGTGACGTTAGGAGATCCTTGCTCTTCCAGCAGCATTCCTGATCATCCGTGGTTAATGCGCTGCCCCCGTCTTTGTTACGAGGCACTTCAGTGCCCACCCAGGGATCAGCATGAAGGGAAGCACACAGGAGTGAAGCTGGGACATCTGACAACGTGGTGCCTCCAGGGTTACAGTTTAAGCTGAAGCTGAACTAAAGGACAAGTTGTTTTTCTTCACCACTGGTCTTCTAAGAACCAGGAACAGAAACTCTCATTGACCTGCTCCTGCGTATTTAAACTGCAAGGCAGCTCCAGTCTCCCCATCAGAAATGAGGTTATGGGTCATTGCCCTGCAACTCCTGGGGCTCTGCTCTTCATACTGCAATTGCTTTAAACTGCTGTGCTCCTCTAACCCCAATACCTTCATTTAACCAGTCACCAGTTTTAGTTAATGACCACCATGTGTGCAATTGCTGTGCCTGGCTGTGCCCTACCATTTGATTAATTAGACCCAGGACCCAACTCAAACAGCTCAAACTTGCCTGGCAGTGGAGAGAGCAGGTGGACTCCTCCACTGCTGCTTTCACCTATAAAGCTGGAAAGAAGAGTTTACTTTTTACTCCGCACATGTGCAATTTTCTTATGCAATCCTTCTTCTTGTTGGGAAGCGGGAAGGAAGACCATTGAATGACTTGGTTGTCAACGTGCTAGCTTTTCTGTTTCCAGCAGTAATTTCATAACACCTTGTGAGGAGATGTAATAGGCTGGAGGGTGAAAGTAGGGTGGGAGCTGTTTTGCTCCTTTAGCAATCAGATCTACCACCCAGGTATCTCAACATCTGCAGAGCAGCTAGAGATCTGATGGGTTGTTGCAGGTTGGTGCTTAAGTGGTGCTTTTCTCCTATGGGAAAGCTGCCGACCCTGAAATAATGTCTCCCCTCTGAGTTATGCCTGACTGCCATGAAGACACATGTCCATCAGAGCCGATGAGCTAGGCTGACCTTGCTCTCAGAGGGCAGAGGTGTCCCCATGTAGCTGCAGCTCATCACAGGCTGGGATGTCTGCAGAAGGGAGATGAGGGTGAGTCTCATTTTTTTCTATTATTTGCAAAGGGTGTTCAGACAGTGAGGTCTAACAAAGTTGGCCAAAGTCAGCTCAGGGGGCCTGCAGTATCAACTGAAGGTCAACTATACTGTGGTGGTGTGTCCAATTGCTCTTTACAGGACCTGTGCACACCAGTTATTGTAGATCAGTTGGACAAAGTGGAGGAGTAGCCAACAAAGAGGTCCTGGGTCTCCTGACAATTTTTGTTTGGCAATAGAAGAAAGTGACTTTATGCTGTTCTGAATTGGTGCCACGTTAACAAGACTCCTACACTTACCATTACATGCAGCTGTCTTGTGTGCAGCCATTGAACTCATTTACACAAAAATTTTGTAAGTAAACTCATTCTGGCCCAAGCTTCTTTTCTTGCCTGTCAGAAATATGAGTATTGACCCTGCTTTAATGTGAAAAGACATGAGCCACTTGCATGTCTTCTGCCACGTGTGATAATGAGTCCATAGCCAGTGCTCACATCCCGCCTGCTCTGTAGCCAGACACCCCAGACCTACCTCGTGCCCCTTCCTGTGGTCATCTTATGGAAATATATCTTGAAATTTGCTTCTCACCAGTGCTGTTGGGAAACTGTAGCAGGGCAGAGGTTCAGCCCAAACCATGAGGCTGTTTTTCTGAGGGAAGGGCAAGCCCATACTACTCCTTCAGTCAGGGCAAGAAATACATGGCAGGAGTGGGAAGTCCAGGCAGGATAATGGATGGCAGGTGCATGGCAATTAACACTCATTAATGCCCTTGAGGCCCTGCCATGCTGTACCTTAAATTGTCGGTTTTCCATCAGAAAGTCATACAGTGCTTGCTGGGAAGCTTGGAACAGGCTTTAGCCTGGAACACTATTTTTGGAAAGCCTGTGCAGGCCGTAATGGTGTGGGAGTGAAAGTACATACAGTCACACACTTTCTTCCTCTGAAAGAGGAGATGGGGCGACTGGATCCTGAGAGTGATTTGTAGGTAATTACTGAGTGGGTGAAATGAAGTCTAACACTCGCCCTGCTGATGTTTCTCAGCCCACGTGGCTGTGTGCTTATCACATCCCAGCAGCTTCTCAGCACCAACCTGCCCTCTTTACCCATCCCAGGCCATTCCTAACAGGCTCCTCCCCAAAAGGAGCAAATTAAAACTGCAGAGTGTCCAGGGGAGCTGCCTTCACTTTCAGCATTGGAACTGCTCTACCTTCCTGCACTGATCACCTTCCCTCCACACACCTAAGCATCCTCCAGCTCCTATCTCAGGTGTCCAAGACTTCAGTTTTGCTTTTTCTGCCCTGTGTTTGAGTAGGGTTCCTCTGCTCTTTGCAGTTTCAGCCAATACAGGAATTCAGTGACTCAGGCTTTGACCCCTTGAATCAATAAGAAAGGCACCCAATAGTCCATCTCCAACACTAGCAAGAAGCATGGGAAAGAGAGTGGGAACAAGGCATTTATGTATTATTACTTTTCAGATGGTCTTCTTGCATCCAACCTGTACCTTGTTCAAAGATGCCTTGTCCCAAAATGAACGCTTATTGACACCTCTATGATTAAGATTAAAATTCCAACCTGATTTTTTTTTGTTGTTGTTTAGGTAATCTTTTATTCCTGCAGACAGGTTGTATTGTCATGTATGTAATTGCTGAGGGTAGTGTCATGTACTGTCACGCAGTTCATGTCTTTATATCAGTTCATGCCAGTGTGCAAGTTTCTGAAGTTCCTTAATTCATCTCTTTCTGCACCACATCTTTGGAGACGTATGAAAACTCTGCACCTCCCCGTTGACCTGCCTGTCCATCTGTCCTGCATGTGGCATTGAGGGTATGTCAGAGTATGTGGTTGCAGGGAGCTCTGCAGTGCAAGCCACCATGTGGCCTTTGTTTGTCAGTGTTGGCTGTTCCAAAATGTTCTTTCTGTCTTCATGAGGGAAACTGCCCTTCTGTGGGAAACTGGGAGCTAGAACAAGCTGCCCAGGGAGGCTGTGGAGTCTCCATCCCTGGAGACACTGAAAACCTACTTGGATGTTTTCTTGTGTAATCTGCTCTAGGGGATCCTGCTCTAGCAGGGGGGTTGGACTAGATGATCCCTTCCAATCCCGACCATTCTGTGATTCTGTGAGTTTGAATTTTGTGTCTTCCCCATCTCTTCCTGCCCGGGAGCATTAATGCCTTGGTAATACTATTTTCATGTCCTACTCCACGGGGACTGGATGCATGAATGCCAGGTGTCTTATCTCTTATTTTTTGTAAGCTCAACTCAAAAGCCTCAGCCCAAGTTTCAGGAGGCTAAGGACCAGACTTGATGCCTAACGTTCATTTGAGTTTAATGAGACTGTCTCTTAGTTGTGGGAAAAGACTGTTGTGAGAGAGTTTTTGAGCTAAAGCCATGCCAGAGAGGAAAATTAAAACACAAGCTAAAGTAAAATGGTTGAGATGCTGACACTGAGCAGCACAAGGACTCACAAACAAAACCCTCGAAACAAACAGCAGAGAAATTGAGATGGCAACTGAGCAACAGGTGAACGAGCCTGTTTCAAGGGGCCACAGAAGCTGACACCCCTGTGCCAGCAGATGTTTGCTGTGGGCCTATGAGGTGGCTGTGAGTTGATGAATGTTTAGCCAAGTAAAGTGCTTGAGCCCTGCACTACCTGTGTCAGGCTGCAAAAAAAGCTGTCTGTAAAGCTGTGTCTAATCCTGCCTGCAGAGTGCTCAGGAAAGGTGCCCAAGTGAAGGTGGTGAAGGGGTATGAACTTACCAGTTGATGAA